CCTCTCCCTCTCCCTCTCCCTCTCCCTCTCCCTCTGCCTCTCTCTCTTTCTCTCTCTCTCCATCCATCCCTCCCTTCCTCTTTTCCTCCCTCCCTCCCTTTCTCTCTCCCTCTTTTTTATCTCCTTGGTAACTACTTCTTTGCCCTTTTTGTCATCTTTTTCCCTCTACCTCCAAACATACGAATCTCTCCCTCCACTGCATCTGATCACTCAGGACTCCATACAGTCTTCCGGCTTGTATCATATCTTGAAAAGCAAGTCTGAAATGTGTGTATCTAACCTTGACCAGCTCATCAACAACTCAATTTCATATTAGTATTTTAAGTTACATTGTTCTTTTACTGGCTTGAGTTTTGTGTGTGTGTGTGTGTGTGTGTGTGAGAGAGAGAGAGAGAGAGAGAGAGAGAGAGAGAGAGATGCATGCCTTGGTTACCCATGTGGAGGTCAAAGGACAACTTGAAAGAGTTAGTTCTCTCCCCACACCACGTGGACCCCAGGAATCGAACTCATGTCATCAAGCTTGACTTCAGCTCCTTTTACCTCCTTTATTACCAGCCTACTAACTCCATTTTAGTAGTTTCTACACATTTCTGACTTGCTCTTAGTATGTCTCATGGTAAACTCAACAGTGTCCCTCCTGCTCCAGGTCCTCCTTACGACTCCTGTTGATCAGACCACCTTTCACCACTAACTAGACTTAAATGTCTTAAAATCTTCACTTTTCACCTGTAGTTGATGCCTGTGCCCTCTAATTCTACGTCTACATGTCCTTCCCCTCATCAGATCTCTGCATCGTTAATGTGTGCCCTTTTTAAGTCAACAAATAACTATCAAGTTCTCTTTTGGCACCCAGTCTCTCCACTCCTACCTAACTTTGATGTCAGAATCAGATGAGCTTTATATAGCTTGGCTCTTGGTTCATTGGTTCAAACCTTCGGTGGTTTTCTGTTCTCAGCAAGCTAAGGTCAACGGCTTGTTTATCTGTATCACAGCCTGTGAAACTCAGCTCAGCTCACTTGCTTCATCCTGCAGGGTTCCATTCCCTCTCCACTTGCATCCAGCCTCAGCTTTCTGCTACCTCTGCCTTCCAGATGCTCTCCATCCTCCAGGGTCAGCTCACATGCGCCTAATGGATGAATCAATTTCCAATTCATTTAATAAACTGCATTCTCACTATTTCTGCATTGGTTATTTATGTGTGTCTTTTAGATTCCCGCTAATATTATTGGACTACACTTCTTATTCTAACCTTGAATTTTAATTGTCTCATTTATGAGTGTTATGCCTGAAACTTTTAGCACTAACCTAACACTAGCACTTATTGATTAAATGAACAATTAGAGCTTATATTTGAGTCACCAAATTTTATAGCATTCATTCATTATTAAAGTTCAAACATTTAATTGCAGATTATACTGAAAAGGAGGAGAAGCCATAAGAATGACTATTTAAGTAATACTTTTTTAATTTTTCAATTCTAAATAGCAAATAAGTGCTCTTAAACAGTGAGCATGCTTTGCATTAGATACTTTCAATTTCCTTCCATAAATTCTTCTCATAATATTTTTAGCCAATTTAGCTTGCCCAAACTCATGTAATGTGATATATTAGTTAAATTAGTAGAGATAATACCTTAAAATTGTTAATTCTCAGCTTCTCTGAAAATTGCATGTCTTAACAGCTCTAAGGAATGAATTCTCCATGCACCGGCAGACTCCTTGTAAAACTTCCTCTGAATAGTTGATCGCTCATCAGAGTCTTGATGTTGAGATACAGGATTTCTTATTAGTTATATTGGATATCATTCAGTCTAGCCCATACACTGATTGCTCTTGTTTGTTTTAGATTGTGGTGGGTTGTGAAGCCACCTCCTGTGGTGACCTTCATTCTGTAATGCTGGAGTACACTAAGGATGCAAGGTTGGTGAAATTAGTTTACATTTCCTCCAAACCTGAAAACATAATTTAAACATGGGTCTAATGTTAAGGTAGCTACTTGCAAAGAAGCAATTCTGTGTGTGGAAAGCAGAAGTTTTCAGGAGATTGTGGCACGCCTGTAACCCCAGGACTGGGGAGACAGGGGCTGCCTGCAATACCTAGGGAGGCCTGGTCAGCTCATGTGAGTATTCTTGCAAGTTTCATTAGCTTAAAATTTATTTACATGTCTCCACATTTTTCTTTCAAACCAAAGGGAAAAACTCAGTTTTCACACTGGACAGCTGCTTTACCTTTTAGAATAAGATATTGAGTTTGTTCTCATGTAACTATTTGCTTCATGCTGCTCATTTTTATCCAACCTTCAGAAGATTTTTAATAGGCAGATGATCTGAATGTGCTCCAACTGGTGTCCTGACACCTAATACACGTTAGCAGTGGTGGAAGGAGCCTGGCATGGGGTGTTTCCCTTATAGACAGCTAACACTATCACTATGAAAACAATTATATTATGCTAAGTCAATTGGTTCTATGTATATTTCTAATGAGAAGTTACTTAAACCCGTTCTTATATATGCTGTTATTTTATTCTGTTGTCTGTGAATACATTTACATATTTTAATGTAGTTTTAAAGAGTTAACACACATCTAATGAGAAGTTATTATTTCCTTTTTGGTTTTAAGTTAGTTATGCTATGAGAATTTCATAAATATAGACAAGGTATTTTATCATATCCATCCACTCTCCTCCTTGCAGAACACACCCCTAACCCCTACAGCCCTTATTAGTTAATTTTCTCTTCTTTCTTCTTTTATAACATGCTCATTAATCTAGGAGCTGTTCTTATGTGTGTGAGTGTAGGGCTACCCACTAGATTGTGGGTGACCCACAAGAGGTTTGGGTTTTTGTTTGGGTGTGATCTTTTCTTAACATTTTAAATGTTTTTAATTGTCCGGGCAGTGGTGGTGCACACCTTTAATCCCAGCACTTGGGAGGCAGAGGCAGGCGGATTTCTGAGTTCGAGTCCAGCCTGGTCTACAGAGTGAGTTCCAGGACAGCCCTGGCTACACAGAGAAACCCTGTCTCGAAAAACCAAAAAAAAAAAAAAAAAGAAGAAGAATAGAAGAATAAGTGTTTTTAATTGAAATGGAACTATATCACTTTGCCCCCTTCCTCTCCTCTCCCCATCCCCCAACCATTTACTGTCTATCAAACCCCTCCAATACCCATTGCTAGAATGAAGGTTCAGCGGTGGAGAACACTGGCTGCTCTTCCAAAGGACCCAGGTTCAGTTCCCAGCACTCAGTGGCTCAACCTTTCTGTAATTCCAGTCCTAGCCTGATTGCCTCTTCTAGCCTGTGCAGGAACTGCACACATATAGTGCCCATGTATACATGCAAGCAAACATTTATACACATGAAATAGAAATAAATCTTTTTTAAAAAAGAAATTCACATAAAATGATTTAATCCTATCCCAAAGGATAGGAAATATTAATCACAGAAGGACTACTTAGTGGAAGGACTACTTCTGACTTGTCTAATGCAGCCCTGTTTGTTTATTGCTACAGGTCTGATTCCTGGCAACTCGTGCAGACCCAGTGCCTACCTTCCTCTTCCAATAGCATTGGCTGCTCCCCCTTCCAGTTCCATGAAGCCACCATTTATAATGCTGTCAACAGTTCAAGCTGGAAGAGGATCACCATCCAGCTGCCGGACCACGTCTCCTCAAGGTGGGTTGTCTACAGAGGTAAGCCTCATGGGGCTGACAGACAGCCTCCGCAGCAGTGGGTCTCAGCCTCCTTAGGCTTCAGTACAGTTCCTCATGTTGTGGTGACTCCAACCATAAAATTATTCTTGTTGCTACTTCATACTGTAATTTTGCTACTGTTACAAATTGTAATATAAATATCTGTGTTTTCTGAGTCAACCCACATGGTAAAAACCTCTGCTCTATATAGTCAAGCAGAAAGATGAGAACAGAATTTTAGCTGCAGCCTGATGACCCTTTCTTCTTCTTGCCATCCCATGTCCCAAGAAAAAGAATGAGAACATATTTATAAATTATTCACAAAGTCCAGATTTTCTTGTAACTACGAATCATACCTGTGCAACAATTTACTCAAACATCCTGAAGTTAAATTCTACACAGAGACAGAAGTCAGGGCCCATTCTGCCCTAGCACTTCATCCTGCCAAAGACTGTATTGCTCCTGTGGACATGCAGACCTCCTGGGTTGCCAGGTTACAGGAAGCTGAGGATAAATAAGATGCTGTGTGATTTTTCCCAGGAGCAGCATTCATTTCACTGAAAGATTTAGAAAATTATATGCTTCTTTAATTTTATACATATATATGTATATATGTGTGCACACTCACACACATATGGACATAGAATTACTATAGAATGGAATAGGAAATTCTCATAAAGGTTGAAAAGAAGGAATAACACTCTGTCTTCCATACACATTGAATACAAACACACATATGCATGGGCACATAGATGAAGGAAGAGAAAACCTTAGAGAAGATACAGCTTTCAGAAAGGCATGTGAGAACTCATACCTAATGTCTGGGAAATGAGTCAACTCCCTGATTTTGGGGTGATTTAAATAGAAATTTGAGATCTTTCCTCAGATCCCCAATACCACAGGCAGAGGCTAGACACAGACAGGAAGGCTGTTGACTCTGTGTTTCTCCTTGGGTCTCTCAGTGCCACACAGTTTCGCTGGATCCAGAAGGGAGAAGAAACTGAGAAGCAAAGCTGGGCCATCGACCATGTATACATTGGAGAGGCTTGTCCCAAGCTCTGCAGCGGGCATGGCTACTGCACCACGGGGGCTGTCTGCATCTGTGATGAAAGCTTCCAAGGTCTGAACTAGGGCTGTTTGTGAAGCAGGATACTGTGGGCTCCTTATGTTACATACAGGACACTAGGAAATGGATGGGAAGGCCAGGCTGAGGGGCAGAGGTGGATGACACAATCTTTGACCTCTAGTTTATTATTTTTGGGATGAATTCTCAGCCTTGAGTTATATTCCTAAAAGCATTATAAATCATTTTTTAGTTGGCCTACAAAACACTGGCTCTCATTATGATATTTATATATATGGTCCCCTTCCCCTGTTCCCCTCCTGCTTCCTGAAACTCATTTTTAAAAGAAGACTGGGGAGTTGGGAGGATGACTTGGCCAGTAAAGCACTTGGCTTGCAAGCTCAAGGACCTGAGTTCAATCCCAGAACTCACATAAAAATGCAAGGCCTGATGTTATACTCGTATACTGTAAGCACCGGGGACAGACAGGAGGTTCCTTAGGGCTCGCTTGGCTGCTTGTCTAGACTAGCTGATGAGCCTCAGTCAGTTAGAAAATAACTCAAAGGAGGTGGATGACATTCGTGACAATGACATCTGAGGTTGTCCCCTGCCCATGCATACAAATATGTGCCCACGTATACTCAAAGACACCTCACATCTATGCATTTTTTTAAAAAGGCTAAAATCAACTTGATAGATTCTGAGCATGATGATTTATATTTGTAAATAGACAGGATAAACCCACACAGGAGACCCTGTAGTGCTTATGTCCCCTGCCTTTCACATGAGCTTCCTGTCCTAGCCACACCTCACTCTCTGGTCACTCCTCTGGGCCTTGTCTTCATCAGCATCTGACTCTACCTACCTGCATCCGGCTTTCATCCCCCCACAGTTGTAGGTGGTGACCTGAGTTTTTGACTTCTCTGGTCACACTGCCACTGGGGGTTGTGGGGGAACAAACTCCATCATACAACAAAGTAAATTTCTACTTCTTGGGCTTCTAGACACCAAATGTTTGGGACAGAGAGTCTGGTCAGACTCTCGCATGGTTGGAAAAGCCTGCCAAACCTGCTCTTCTTTCAGCCAGACTCCTCAGCAGGCTTCAAACTCTACCATCACACACTCACCATTACTTCTTCATAGCTCAATAATTGAAGCTGAGAAATCGTTGAACTTTACAATACCGCGATTTCACTGTTTGCATAAACTATACCCATTTTTTAAGAAATCCCAGTCATCTAAGTAACCTGTGGTTAAGGTGACCTGATAAATGAGTAATTTATTTATGCCTCTAACTATTTGCTTCATTTGTAATAGGCAGATGATCTGAATATACTCCAACTGGTATCTTGACTCCTAAAACACATTAGCAGTGGTGGAGGGAGCCTGGCATGGGGCGTTTCCCTTGAGATAGCTGTCTAACACCATCACTATGAAAACTTAATTGTATTATGTTAAGTCAATTGATTCTATGTATGTTTCTAGTGAGAAGTTACTTAAACCCATTCTTATACATGCTGTATAATTTTGGCTTAGAGGTTACGTATTTGTTAAAAGCAAAGAGCTGGTAAAAATGACCAGGTCTTGGATTTTTCTTCCCAGTCAACATTGCCAGTTCTCACAGCTGAGAGATTTATCTGAATAAGATAAAAAATTATACAGCTTTCCCCAAGAACACGATGTTAAAATATATATGTTGGAATTCAACAGGGATTTTTTTCTTGGTGCTGTCTTTGCCTCCAGATGAAATGGATGTGATTAATGTAGACCCTACACATCTCTGCTGTTGATGTTACTCCCTGCCTCCTGCTCCCCTGTTATTACTACTGCCAAGACCAGCTGAGGCCGCCTGGCTATTAGCTGAAGAACTTTAACTTTGGGCAAATTAATGCATCAACTGTCTCACGAGAAGGCATTTTCCCTCTTCCCTGATCCAACAACAGTAGGGCCTTTTTATTTTGAATTATTGAGGGCATTTAGTAAACGTGTATAGTTCAAATCAAGAAGAAATGTAAGGATGCACACATTCCCTAGCTTAGTGTCTGACACACCAGTCTCACCTTAGTGGCTCCTGAGAGACATTTCCAGTGTATTTATTATTCATGTATTTATCCCAGCATACTTGCTGAGTATTGAAAAGATACCAAGAGTTGTGTTAGGTGCTGGAATCCATCAAGGAATTAGGAGATAGACTCTCCTCTCATGACTCATTAAGTAGAGAGCTGGATGTAGAACAAGAACACAGCATACCTAGTTTCTGCAAAATCTTACTGGGAAAAAAAAAGAAATTAGATTGGCCTCCTATATCAGGAAAAAAGCTTCCTGCTGAGACCCATCACTTTACCAGCCTGACCAGATGTTGTAGCATTTAAACAACTGGCACAAATGACTAAAAAGTAATAGGATTTGTCTCAACATAAGTCAATAATTACCTAAATACAAGAGAAATGATTGCTTCTGGGAGCAAGCCTGCCTGGTACTTCACTGTGCTTGCCTAAGACTGGCTCAAACCTGAAATTGAATATTGTTCTTATTCTTGGAGGATTGTGTTTACTCCAGCTGATTCCAATCTCTGTGATCATTCCTTTCCCCCAGGCGATGACTGCTCTCTCTTCAGTCACGAGCTTCCTAGTTACATTAAAGATAATTTTGAATCAGCAAGAGTCACTGAAGCCAACTGGGAAACAATTCAGGGTGGTGTCATCGGAAGTGGCTGTGGGCAGCTGGTGCCCTATGCCCATGGAGACTCTCTTTACTTTAATGGTTGTCAGATAAGGCAAGCTGCCACCAAGCCACTAGATCTCACTCGAGCAAGGTAAGGAAATCCTGTGTCATAGCCACAGAACTGGTCACAAGCCCAGATCTGATCATGGACTTCATGCAACAATGTCCACTAAGCAAGGGAGCCTGAATATCAGAGAACCATCATATGTTTTAACAACTCAGAACTAACATTGTGTAAAATTACCATAGATGGCTTTGTTATTTCTTCCCACACATACTAGCTACATAGATAAAACATAATGTCAACCACAGTAGTAGTGTAAATAAAAATAATATGGAAAAGTTTATAAATGCAAATATCTATGTTTAGCCCCTGTAAGTTTAACAAATAGAAATAAAGGATGATGAGATCTTTATTATTAATGAAGAAGAAAATGAGCAGAAACTGTATACTATATATTATGTATATTATGTAAGTGACGCAGGACAAGACCTGGGCAGGGTTGACTTTCTTCCCCATTTCCCATCCTCACCCATTCTTCCAGAATCAGAGTATGGGTTATGATGTGAAGGTTTAAATGGACCACAAAGCCCTGGACTAGAATGCCCACTGAATGATGTCAAGAACTCAGAAACCACATGGTTATCTGAGGGCTAGATGTGCAGTAACAGAATGTAGTGATTAACCTGAAGAGTCAGGCTTCCGTGACCCCCATGTACTGATGCAAATAGTCAGAGAACAGTTGCACATTATGTTATATAAATAATATATATTCCTTATTTACTCTAGTAACCACTCTGTTAGGCACTAGTAACCTTATGGGGAGACGCTTCTATGTTAAAATCCATGTCTGCAGGGCTGAGTAGTTGGCTCAGTGGGTAAAGAGTCTGCCTTGTAAGCATGGCAACCTGAGTCTAGATACCCAGAATGCACATAAAATGCCAACTGTAGAGGTGCACCTATAATCCTCACACTAGAGGGTAGAGACAGAAGGACATCAGCCATTGCTAGATAGCCAGTCTAACTGAATCAGTCAATCCCAGGTTCAGTGCGCGACCCTGTCTCAAAACAGTATGGTGGAAAAGCTCTCTCAAAGACAGCTGACATTGACCTCTGGCCCCCATACACATATGTACACACACACACTGCACAGGCATGTGCACACATGCACACACAAAGAGCTGTGTCTTCTAAGCATACAATGTCTGTGGAATGCAAAGAGGCATGTATCCAAAGGATGGGCATGAGCCTAAACCGGCATGCTCCAGCTTTCCCTCATTTGATCTCCAGAGAACCTTTCCTGAAGTACACATGATGATTTATCCTTGTCCAGCTGCTGTTCAGCTTGGAGCCATTTATAAAGAAGCATACAGTACACATGTTGTGTTTGTGTTCTGTGTCCTTGGCTGCTTGGCCTAGACAAGAACAAAGGGTATTTGGGGAAAAATATTTTAAACCAATTTCCAGCATCGTAAAAAGAGACACATATTTGAAAGTTATAGCTGTTTATTCTTAGTGGTTTATATTATACAGTCAGCCCTTAGTAAGCATGGGGGATTAGTTCCAGGTTCCCCATGAATGCTCAGTACTCTCTGATATTGTACTTGCGTTTAGCCTATGCTAATGCTTCTGTGTGATTTAGATCATGGTTTACAGTGTCCAGTACAATGTATAGACTATGCAGATGAGTGATACACTAAGTTGCTTGAGGAATAACAAAGTAGGTAAAGGCTGTACTCATTCAATAACAGGTTTTTCTGGAATATCTTTGGTATGTAATTGATTAAATCTTCAGATGTGGAACCTACAGAAGACCCAACTGTATTATGGCCCCAGGGATTATGGACTTTAGGAAAAACAAAGATTGAAAGCTTCCTTTTCCTTAAATGTTTTCCAACTTTCATCTAAAGTTGATTCCCCTGTATTTTTTTTCAGCAAAATTATGTTTGTCTTGCAAATTGGGAGCACAGCACAGACAGACAGTTGCAACAGTGACCTCAGTGGCCCCCACACCGTGGACAAAGCAGTGCTGCTGCAGTACAGCGTGAACAATGGCATAACCTGGCACGTCATCGCTCAGCACCAGCCGAAGGACTTTACACAAGCTCAGCGGGTGTCTTACAACGTCCCCCTGTAAGCAACCTGAAGGGAAGAGCATGTCCTCCTGCCTGCTCAGTAACTCACTGAGCATGACAAGGAAGCTGGGTGGTTATTGGGTCAGTGCCATGAACCAAGTGGCAGAGCCAAGATATCCCAGACCACCAACATTGTGTTGCTGTTTTCCATATGTCCAGAGGCAGAAAACTAAGCAGAATGGCAAGGGGGAATAGACGGAGGACTAAATGCAAAGACACTGTACATGTCTCTCTTCCTTTAAACAGTCTTTCCGATCCTTTAGAGAACAGCAGCAATGAGTTTCTGTTTCGAGCGACTGTTTGGGAATCATATCACCATTGATTAGCGCTGTTCACCCAGCCTCTAGCACAGGGTCTGTCACAGGAAGCATTTCATGCTTGTTGATAAACACATTGTTCTTCCAGATACTCTTAGAACAAAGGGAAGGAAGGAAGATAGACCACTATTACCTGACTTTTAAGTCACATATTTAATACTCTTAAAAGAGGAGTAGGCACTAGGCAGATCTGGATCCTAATGTGCAACATTTTCTTGTCTTGAGTTAGCCTGTTAAAGCATCTGAAATCTAGAGCTCACCTACCAGAAGAAAGGTCTTCCTTAACATAAAGAGTCTCCTTAACATTCAACCTCTGTGTCTCTCTGTGTCCCTCTGTGTCCCTCTGTGTCTGTCTGTAACCCAGGGAAGCACGGATGAAAGGGGTTTTACTGCGCTGGTGGCAACCACGCCACAATGGAACAGGTCATGATCAATGGGCTCTGGACCATGTGGAGGTCGTCCTGTGAGTATCTGCTACTTAGTGTACTGCATCCATTCTAGAAAGGTTTGAAGTTCCTTTTACCTGGCATGCTCCTTAATTTAGTAAGAAGTAGACTTGATGAGAAGGTCCCCACAGGGCCACTTTGGCTAACACTCTTTCAGCAACTGCAGGCTATGGTTCAAGTCAACAGTCAAGTATAACAAAGCCCTGAATGTAGTTTGGTGGGCTTTAGAAAGCTTTGATAAGTAAAATGTTTATTTAAGGGTTGGCAGGATTGATCAAATTCAATAAAACAGAAGTCTTTGGGGAAATGGGAAGTGACGTCTTATGCTTGATCTGGGTTGCCTTACAAAATAAAATGGCCTCCTAAAAGAATCATCTGTGCTGGTCTATATACAGAGTGTCCATGGTGAATGAGCCCATAGTATCAACCCTAGCAGCATTCTACAGTTAAGGATTTGGTTGTAACTAGAACAGAGACTCTATGGTTTCACACTGCTCCTGACCAGCCTCTCACTCAACAAGTACAGGGTGTCCTCCCCCTTGTTTGTTTGTCCCCTGTGAAAGTGCGGTCACAGCTCTCCTCTGTCTGGGTTAACTGTTCCCTTGCAAAGAGATGACTTGCTTTTTCTCTAACAATCTAGTTCCTGTAAAACTGGAATGCTTATGTCTCGGCGGGTTCGAACTGGTGGCTCCAAGTGGTTGTCAAGGAGAGGCGAATCTTCTCGGTAGATAGGTTCAAATGTTCATTCTGTTTACCAGATCCGAAATGAAATCAGTTTTGTGGCTGATTTCAGTCATTTTGAAAGCAAATTTCAATCATTAATTGGTAGAACTACCAGATTTTGTTTTCTTTCTATCATGGCCATGAGCTGAATTCTGCAGTCTTGAGCTAGCCTTTGTCCCAGCTGTCACTGAGGCACCTGCTTGCATGGCATCCATATCAATCCCAATTTCAAGAGCAACCCAGTCCCCACACAAGCCCCCACTGTGCGCTCTGCTGCTTTTGGACCACTTGCTGGGCTCTGCCTCTACAGGACAGAAATCTAAGTTTAAAGGAACCTTGACCCTTGAATCTAAACATGAGGCTGGTGTTTTACTTAGATATTAGTTTTTTCCAACTACATTATTCTAGGAGGGCTCTTAAAGACTGTAAACATACACATGTATGTATGTGAATAGTGAGGACATAGAGAATGTCCAAGTAGACCAGAATCCAGTCTTAGAGCCATTGTGCCCTGACCTCTCTCAGAGCAGAGAGACCCCATCTCAGAATCCCTGGGGAAGCTGGCCTTCCTCTGAAGGATTAGCCTTGTCTGCACTAGGAATTGTGCAGACTTTATAGGGACCTCGGTTACTTTTTGGGAATTAACCCAGAATCAGCAATCACATCTTTCAAGCCTTCCGCCAAGACCACTTGCATAAACAGCATTACAAACTCCCCTGGAAACTTCAAAAGTTGCCCATTCTCAACAGAAAGCAGGACACTAACTCTGCCCTGGGTGCATGCAAGACTCCTCAGCATAGCATACGTTTGAGTAGATACTTTCCACTCCCACCCAGACGAGCCACTGCCACCATCTAGAGTAGTCTATGTTAGCATGAAGTAACCCTTTCACAACTGGAAAACAAAACTCAGTTCCCTGTTGACCTGCTGCCTCAGGGGCTCTTAGAGTTCTATCAGGAAGCCTTCCTGCCTGCCCACAGGAGAACCTTCTGGAATACCTGATGTTGGTATTAATTTTTGTAAGCAACTACCAGCATCATGATACTGCCATAAGACTCAAAACTTACTACATTCTGGAACTGTAACCTGTATTATAAGACTTCATTTTTATTCAATCTGCAGAGTTTTAAGACTTTAAAGAATTTATCACTTGCCAGGTATCTCCTGCCCTGACCCTATATCATAGTCTCAAAGCTTCAGGACACTAAGTCATTTGAACAGGGACAGTACCAGCAATCATGAGTGTTGCTGTATACCTTGTTTCTCTTCACATCATTTTTCAGTGAATTCTTCAGATCTTAAGTACACATAATTTTAGAAACAAATCATATCCTTTTAGTGATATCTTTAGATATCTTAAAATTATAGGAGTACTTTATTTCCCTTGTTTTAGAAAAAAATGTATACTTCACAGAGCTCAATTCAATAAATGAACTGTAATATATATACTTAAAGAATTATATTTTAGAATTTCATATTTGGTATTTTTGCTCTGTTATTAAGATATAATGTTTTATGCCACTATAACATTCAAAGTATTTACTTTTTGTAAGAATCATAAAAGTTTTAAAAGTCATTACCATGTACTTGATAACCTTGCAGTACAGTTTATCCATTAGATGAATACAATAGTATAATAGAAAGCTCCAGATAATTCAGGAAAATAAACTATAACAACCCGTTTGTCCTTCAACTGTGTGAGATACACAGAATCTAGCTGAAGTTCATTTTGTTTCATAAACACTACAAATTTTGCTATGGAAAATATGTATATTTAAGAAGTAGAATAGAATGCATTCATAAAGCCCCACGAATGGAATATATTTTCTTACTTAGCTAGACTTCTCTATCAGAGCCTTTAGCTAGCTGTGTGAGCTAGTGATGGTCACTTCTCCACTATGGAGGAGTCACCTGAGACACATCTTGGTACAAATCCCACCTGATTTAACATGCAGACAGCACTATTAGCATGTTTTTGCAACCTACATTTCAGTGAAATAACTTTTGTAATGTATTTTCCTTTCTAAGTGACAGTTGCTTTGACCTAGCCTTGATTTCATAATTTTACGTTTGTATATATGTACCAAGGACATATGCTAGAAACCCCTAGAAAGAAAAGCTGTGATCATGCATGGTATCTCACATTGAGTAATGTCCACACTGCCCATATTAAACAAGGACATATGAGTTTGGTGAGAACAAATTCAATACCTTTGGAAAATGTTTCCAGATATAGGGGAACTTCTAAATGAACAGGACATATAATATATTCTTAATGTTTTAATTCCAAAAGACTATCTGTGGAAAGATTTGAGTATCATAAACATAAAAAAATGACCAGACTATAACGATAAAGACAGAAACATCCCTTTTAGCATTCAACAAGTGAAGTCCTTGTGCTTATTTGTGACTGTAATACTCTCTTGTTTGCCAGTGAAACCTGCACATGGAAACCTCTGTCATGGCTACCCCCTGCTAATCTGTCTGCATTGAACTGTCAGATTAGGTTTTTTTCCAGCCTCACTAGTTCACAAAAAGACTTCATTCCATAAAGTCCAAATGGTATAGCATACATAACACAGTCATTTCCAACCAAGAGAATCCTAATTTCTCTGACCTCCTTTGCTAGCATAGGCTATTTTTCAGTAAATGTTTGTGAACTTGGGCAGATCCCTCACAAGATCCGTGCTGGTGGTAGGGTGCTTCTTAGGGTGCAAGAGAATCTGTTGTCTCAGCTCCTTCTGCTGGGCATTCAACGCTTCTCACCTAAGACTCTCCCTCACCCAAACGTGCATTCCATTCACACATCACATTTGTGTGCGTGTCTCAGTCACGGCCTGTCATGTGGTTAATGAATTGGGCTGATTTTCGCATGTGTACCTTGAAAGTAAATCACTCAGTGGAAAGTTAGCCTTTGTGAACTGATTTAGTAACAAGCAAATTGTTGCCACATTTATTGAAAACTGAAAAGTAATATGTTGCTAACTTTGCCTTTAAACACATTTATCAGATTTTAATATAAGTTCCATCATGACCATCCCCCCTTGCTATTCATCATCAAGATACTGTCACTTTTTTGGCACAAATGATTTATGAAGATGAGCATATTACATTTCTCGCAAAGCATTTTTTCCTTTATTAAATTTGACTGTCTTATCTGATGTAGAAGGCTTCTCCATTTTTAAACCCCATTCCTTAATCTCATCGGGTGTTAATAGTACCTAAAATGTAAATAATTGAGAACACAGATAAAATTTACAATAGAAATTAAATGATTAATATTTATATTTTATGTGTAACATTTATGCCAAATGTAGTGTTATAGCTACATGTACCTTGACATATGGTTATGAGCAAATATTGCATGTTTCATTACATTAAAAAGTTAAGCATATCTCTATATTGAGGATAGAAGGATAAGGAATAACATGTTGAATTTTTATTTTCAAAAGAGATGAAAAGTCCTATATTGCACCTAAGCCTGATCAGACTTTTATGAGTAATCACAGTGCTGCATGCGTTGAGAAGCATTTTTTAACTTGTATTATATTTCATTATTTGCTGACATTGGTTTTCTACTAGAGTAAGGTAAGTCATTGTCACTACATCGGGAAGGCTGTTATCTGTTCAGTTTTGCAGTTTTACCAAAGCTAGCTGAGAATTTCTGTAGAGGACCATTCACAAGTAAAAATCTTCTAGAAAACCAGTTATGGATGATACTGAGATACACTGACAGAATGTTCAACATCCAGTAAAGTTAGCCAATTTAGCCAAAGTCTGTGATATTGGATACAGCCACATAAGCTGGAGGGTGTGGTAATCAGCATTCCCTTGTTGGCCAAGCATGCCGGGCTCCATATTAGACACCACTGAAGCTAATAAACTCCTTATGAGGAACTGTAATTCAAATGTATGCAAAAGATCTCAAGTCTGTAGCTAATGTCTTTCAAAAGATTTGTTGGGCAGGGGAAATACACGAAGGTACCTTTGCTTACCAATTTTAATTTAATAATTGACAGAGGGGTGCTATGCTCTTGACACTTATAAATTCTGAATCCAGCTTATTGATAAGATGGGCCTTCTTCTATTTGTCCTTTGATTCACCAGCTTCAAGACTTGAGTGTAAAATGGTCCAAAGTAAACATGCATTTGGTGTTAAGGTTTTTTGTTTAATCCTGGCAGTTTCCTGAAGTGTGTGGCCAAATATCATCCTCATTTCCAGTTAGCAGAAGAGAAATCTGAAAGTCTCAGGGTCTGAGGCATTTGCAACTCCACTTACTGATGTGGACCATCCCCCAAAGCACATGACCTTCATCTGTGCTCTGGGGTCAGTTTGAATTGTGCTATCTACCCTAAAGTCACCTGAATTTCTCTGAAAGGTACAGCTATAGTCACTGGATTCTTAATTCTGCCTTCAGATAAATTATTGTTTGTTGTATCACATGTTGAAAAATATTGAATTTCTGACCAATAAGATGCCTAAATTTCTATAAGCTCAAATTCTTCTAATCTTAACCTTTTCCATATCTTTTAGATTAAATTTCTTTTCTTTTTTTGGGGGGGAGTTTTTTTTTCTTTTTCTTTTTTTTTTTTTTTTTTTGAGACAGGGTTTCTCTGTGTAGCCCTGGCTGTCCTGGAACTCACTCTGTAGACCAGGCTGGCCTCGAACTCAGAAATCCACCTGCCTCTGCCTCTCAACTGCTGGGATTAGACTGTATGCCACCACTGCCCGGCAAATTTATTTTCATAATAATAAATGAGCTGTAATACTGTAGTAATACTGTAATTCCAGTAAAAAGTAATGGTTCAAAAGAAGACAGGATCATAAATTCCTTAAAGATCTCACAATCCCGATATTTTCTGTGCCAAATCAGGGATGTATCTTCTAATTCCATATGTCATCTAAGTCTTCAGAAATCCCTGCAACAGTCGGAATTTCAGTCAGCATTTACTGGAAACCGCTGATTGATCTCCCTTCTTTCAATGAGTTACATTTGAAGAGTTACTTAAGTTACTATCTACAATCAGAGTGGATTGGTATGCCCAGTGCTAGAATGTGCCTCCAGATGAGCATCACTGCTTATATTGAACTTATACTAAAAATCACTTTCCCCAGTAGTTGCAGTGAAAAATGAATCTTAAGAACTCAGATGCACCTACTATGACACTGTCTATTGCATGCCTCTGCATGCATCGAGAGCAAAAATACACTCCCCACAAAATAGACCAATACAACATTTTTAAATGTGTTCAAAATTTATAAGATTAAAACTCCTCAAATATATAGTCTTGTAAACTAAATGTTTTAGAAGACAGAGTAGCTGCTTACTATTCACACAGGGTATTGAATGGGCCTAGAGTCAAACATTGTTCTGTCCTGACCATGGTACTTGAACAGGCTTAGGATCTGTAAAATTCCACTTCATTAAACTCCAGTGTAAAGGACTCAGAACCAAGTTCCTAGTTAGCTATAAGCATGCTTTGAAAGTGCAGCTGCTTCTATACAAGTATATAAACATTAGAGACCTGAAGCAGACAAACGTCCATGTGCCTATCAAGATTCATGGGAATCCACAGCTATATAACACAAACTGAATCAAATCCAGTGGACCCAGTGAATTTAAACATCTCCTAAATTGTGTTTAAGTCTCTTTAAAAATCTACAGTATAAAGATGGAAATTTTAAAGCAGTGCCATAATAAAGTCACTTCAGTAGACTTTGCTTTGAGACTGTTAACAACTTCAGTTAAAGTTAAGCATGTCTTTTCTCATATCTGCAGGGTCACCGTCACACCATTCTAAGTTACAATGAGATAACTAAGTATCTTGCTTATTTGGGGTTTTATGTAAAATATTTAACCATTTTACATTTGAGTACTTTGTCTTTGAACATGTCTTGACAGAATAATTCCATTGCTTTAACTCTGCAATTATTCCTTATAGTTAAAGAGTAATGATTTACAGCAGGAGTCCAATCTGTAAGTCTACAAAGGTTTAATATAATAGCATGCCTTGACCACCCACAGGTCAAGCAGGAGGTGCAGAGCTGTGGCTGGGGATGGACAGAGCTGGACAACAGACCCCCATATTATCAGAAGCTTACATGTGGGGAGCAACACTCAGCAGGAAATGAGTGCTATGGGGGTTCAAGACAGAAAACGGAAAGAAAATAAAAGAAATCCCTGCTGAGGGGTGCTGTGAGCACAAAAGCAAATGTGATCCTGGACACACAAATAGAAACTGAGAGCATGGTGCCAGAGGATGCCAGTGAGGCTGGTGTAGACTAAGAGGCCGCTTTGTGTAGAGCAGTCTGTATAGTGGTGGATCAGAAGAAAGGGTCTGAAAAACAATAGGATTAATCAGGAAGAGGACATGAGATGTGTGTTGTCACTAGTTCGATGCTGTTATGACATGTAAGAGTTATGGATACATTTTTAATAAACAAAGCCAACCTCTGAAGAAAAGTTTCCTGAGAGTGAGGTATAACTATTTTGTGTATGCATGCATGAGGCCTGGCATACATGCATACAATCTTAGCATGAGGCCTGGTATACATACATATAATTTTACAGTTATCTTAAGTGTAAATCGTATGCTTCACAGCATGTCATAGTTTCTTTTCAGTGGAGAATAGAGACACAGAAGTTGGTTTAGGGACCATTGTGATAGTGCCAAGGACTCAGGGTGACTTCATATGCTGGCAAAAATACACCAAGGGCCAGTCCCAAAATGTAGCAAATAAAAACAATAACAATGGTTTCTCTAATCCTTAACTAGCTCAGGGCACTAGGTCACTGCCCACTTCCAAGACTGCTCACAGCAGCTGATAAGTGTGGGTGTGTTTTCTTGACCCTTTCACTTTGGCACTGACACTGATTGACATAAAGTAATAAAATTATCACCATCTTATGTAAGCAGAGGGTGGTGGTGAAGACTACCAGAAATCAAAATATCACACACACACACACACACACACACACACACACACATATTCTGTTTCTCCAAAATATCCTTTTTGGATATTTATTTTGGCTTTGTAGTTACTAATATCTTGATAATATGGGCATCCTAAGTGGAAAGACATTAGCACTTTGCTTTTTATAAAATATGCTTGTATTGCGCCTGCCTTTTTATCAGGGTCTCAAGACAGATATTGCTGCTTCAGAGCTATGTCTGTGTTTTCCTTGAGAGTCTTATTATAAATCTATTCAAATGATTAACTGGAATTACATAAAATTCTCTCAGTTTAAAGTTTTTCACATTTTTATAGCTAAGTAGAGTGCCGACTATATTGTTTAAAGAGCATTATTTTACACCTTGTGAGAATTGGATTATTGATAAGATTATCCTTTCCCTTTATCCTAACTAATTGATCATATGCTGCCCTTGATGGTAGAATCATATCACTGACATCACCTCTCTCTGCACATATTAAAGAAACTTAATACATTTGGAAGACTTAATACATTTCTATTCAAATCACATATTGATGCCACATATTAATATACTGCCCTTCAGTTCAGTGTATGAAAGTACAATTCTTATCTCAGTGATGTTACAGATCATGAACCCTAAAAAAGGAGAGTGAGAGTTGGGGTGCTTTCCTCTAACCACAACACTCTTGAAGCAGAGGAAAGGGAATCATAAGTCTGAGGTCAACTTTGGCAAAATGGTAAAACCCTGTCTGAATTTAAAAAAAAAGACCTCTATTTTTCATGCCAAAATGTTAGCAGCTTTCACTAAAACTATTATTTAATTTGCTGAGGATCCTAATATCCATTTTCATTATATTTATCAGCTTCACGTATAGTACATGTAGGTGTGTGTGTGTGTGTGTAGGGAACAATATATATACACACATATATGGTCATATGTTCTCCTGCATTTCCTAAGTATTTTATGACCTCCTTTTTAGCATAGAGCCTCTTTCAGTAAAACATGATTATCAAATTCAACCCCAGTTGCTGATTGAAACAGACAGTGGAAGGCAACATCTTCACTGTGCACCCTGAGAGTCAGCAATCTAGGAAAGTCTAGCTTGGTCTGCTAACTAAGCTTTTGTTTTTATTTTAGCCCTTTAAACTTGAAACAAAAATGTTAACTAATGTAACCAAATCGCTTTTGCTATGTTTGTATATAAATAAGGTAATGAGTATAGTATGCACGTCCGCTGGAGTGGAGTCAATGGGGAGATGTGTTCTGGTCCTGAAAAGAAAAGGACTTCAGGGCCAAAGGTAGTGAGGCATCTAATTATTCTGTCCCTAGTCGGTGAAGTCTGCATGACTCCTGAACTCTGAAAATGTTCAGATCTATAGCAGGCTATCTTGGAACCTTAGAATAGACCATATGTTCATTGATGGGACTTACATGCTCTTTCTTGTGGTTTACTTGTGGTTTTTCTAACAGCACTCGCAAACAAAATTACATGATGAATTTTTCACGACAACATGGGCTCAGGCACTTCTACAACAGAAGACGAAGGTCACTTAGACGATGTCCATGAAGAATCCAAGTTTATTTCCCTTTCCAGCGTACAATGTGTCCCTTCCTGGTTTTTCTCACTGCATCCAATATCAGGAAACAAAGATGAAGGACTTGGCTGACAGAAAGCCCTTCAAGACTGAGTGTCCTCCACCTTTCCACACTGTGAGCTAATGATGTGCAGCTGTCTGCACATAAGTAAATGTCTTCACGTCAGTGCATCAGTGGAAATTGTGATCTGTTGTAATATCAGTTACAGTGGCAGTATTGAGAATAAGAAATAGTTTAACATAAAAAAAGTTTAAGCACAAAAATTTTTAAAGATTTTATGTTTTAAATGGCATTTTAGCACAGTATTTAACATTCTGGGTCACTGAACTATTTAAGAAGACTGTATTTCATCTTTGTCTCTTGTTTTATATGATTAAGTTATCATCATTTGTCCTTTATGTATCCTCCACTACTGTATAACACACTGAAACTGTATCTACTTGCTGTGTTGCAATATTTTGCTGCTGGACTTTGACCGACTTGTATTATGCAGAAAGTTAATTCAGATACCTATTCAAGATGATAACTGTAAAGACACTGTTAAGTCCTTTAGTATGCTCCTTATCATGTATGTTGATATAGCATCATTTTGTGGATAGGAAAAAAATGTTTGACCTTCAGATATTTTCTACTTAAAAAAATTGTGGATGAACACCCTATCTCTTCCCACAGTGAAGTTCCCAATACCTTGTCTAAAACAATTTTTTAAAGTGGCTGGTTTACTAACAGTAACTGCCATGTCGTGTTTGTGGTAACTAAGTGACTTGTAAGATGGTGGATGTTTTCCTCATTGTGTTCTCTTCATGGGTTGTTTCCCTGTGGGTCATAGTCATACCTTCTGATGAAGTTGAGCCAACACCAGCAAAGTCTAATGGTCCTGCAGCTGCTGACTATTACTGAAACAGAAGGCTGCACTATAAGCTGAACCATGCTAAAAGCCCATGCTTAAATAAAAAGTATGTCCAAAATCTATTTGCAGCTTATTTGTGTTCATTTCATTTTTATAGTGTGTGTGTGAGTGAGGGTGTGCATGTGGAGGTCAGGGAACAACTTGGAGTGCTGGTGTTCAGCTTCCACATTGTTTGAGACAGTCTCTTGTTGCTTACTGTTCCACAAGCCTGTCTAGCTGGCCCATGAGCTTCTGAAGAGTCTCCTGTCTCCACCTTCCACTTTACTGTAAGCACAAGGGTCCCTGACACCTCATCTGGCTTCTATGTGGGTACTCAGGGTCCAAGCGCACTTCCTCGCGTCTGTACAGCAAGCTCTTAATCCACAAGCCATCCCCATTGCCCTTCATTTTGTTTCTAAATAAGTCTCACACAGAAATTACCAGCCAAATCACACCTACAAAAAGGTGTCAGATGTTGCTAAGAGGTTTTTTGTTCCATCATTGGTGACATCAGTAGGAGGCCACACTTTCAACTTAGCCATTTCTCTTGAGTGTGTGTCTGGTGATGAGTGTGTGTGTGTGCCCCTGTGTACAAGTGAGAGACCACAAGTCACTCATCAAGTGTCTTCCTCCATCTCTGTCCTTCTTCTATTTTGAGATTCTCAGTGAACTCATTTTGGTTAGACTAACTGGTCAGTGAGCTTCAGAGATCTGCCTGTCTCTGTAACCCTACCCATCATTGAAGCCACACGTGGGGGCCCCTGAGCTGGGAAGATGAACTGTTTCTCACGCTTTTGCAGCAGTCATCTGATCACAGGATTTTTGCTTCCATTCCCCTGGAAACTATCATCCTGTTCTGAGTTTCACTTATCCTAATTCCACATTAGCTGATACTTTAAAGTCACAAATAGAAAGGCTGAAATTTGATGTGTCAAGATCTACAAATTCCCAGCATCCAGAGGCAGAAGCAGGTGGGTCTCTCTGAGTTTGAGGCCAGCCTGGTCTGCAGAGCTAGTTCCAAGACAATCAGGGCTACACAGAGAAATCTTGTCCAGTTAAAAAAAAAAAAAAGCCAACAAAGATGAAAAAAGAAGAACCCTTTATATATCCCGGCAGGGGATGTAATCCAACACAGTCACTATAGAAATTTGTTTGTAGATTCCTAAAAAAAAAAAAAAAAAAAAAAAAGTAAAAATGTGGGCTAGAGAAATGACTCAATTTTTATTAATTTCCAATAATTACAAACAATTTGAGTATGCATCAACAAAAGAAAGGATGTCATTATTTGTATTATAAAGTACAATATAACAGAGTATGCCTATCAACAAAATAAGTGGCACAATTACAAATGTAGTACAAAGTCATTCATAAGATTTTAAAAATTGCAAATAAATACAATATGAACACTTGCATGACAAAAGTATAAAACCATATGGATAAGTGCAGATACAGCAAGCATATCAGGATAAGATTTTTTTTTTAAAAAAAAAAAAAAGCTAGTTAGCAGGTAGCTCAGTGTTTAAGAGTGTTTGCTGCTTTTTCAGAGGACTCTGAATTCGGTTTCTATCATCTACATTACACATTTTATAACAGCCTGTAACTCTAACTTCAAGGCATTCAAAGCCCTCCTCTGGCCTCTGTGGGCACCTGCATACACATGTGAATACACACACAAATGCACATACACATAAATAAAAATATTTTTTCAAACATTAGAAAGGACATATCAAAGGCATTGGCTCTACCTAAAATACTTCATCTTTAAATTTTCAGAAAGTTAATGAGTTATGTGCATTTAAAAGCTTCATCTTATTATCTTTTCGTATGTGAAGATAAAATATTATAGCCAAAATCAAAAGATGATTTAATGGGGAGTTTCATGTGAAGAATAGAGCCAAGTCAGCAGCTAGCGTAGCTCCATAGTGGGGCTGTAGCTCACTGGAACTGAAGAGCTTCATGTGCTTGAACTTCCTGTCAAGAACTGCGACCAGCTTCAGTATTGCAGAGTGAATGCAGAATGAGCAATGGGGAGTGGTTTAGTCAAGAGGCAGCCATGGAAAGCTGTTGGGAGATGTTAGGTGTATGCTCAGCTGCTCTGCTCTAACAAAAACAGAGACTTAGAGTTAGAAAGGAAACTGGGAAGTCAGAATTAATTAATAACACCTCTAGGGTAATGCCAGGGAGTCACCCTAAATTGTTAAGAATTTTACTAGGGTTTTATATTTTCTCAGATAACTTCAAATTCCTCTCACATTAAAGATAATAGCAATAATAAAAGACATATGTTAATTGCTCAGAAGAAAAACAGCTCTCTGTTACTGAAAGAATTTCAATTAAGTGGTTAGTAAAAAAGAAAAAAAGACTTCTTACTATGTCTCCTATTTAATCTTTTGAGTACTTATTATAAATGAATTTTTTACAGTTATTTTTATTCTATCAAGAATGATAATAGATGCGGTTTTACCGATGTGTCAGGCCATTCAGTGACAATGGGAAACTCCGACACTCCCCTGTGGCCTTATTACCTGCTCTTGTGTCTGGACCCAACTCTCCCATATTACTGTCAAAGCAACAAAAGACAAGCTCAACCTGGAAAATATAGCTCTTTTAGAAAGTCCTGGTAGGATATCAGATGGGACTGTGTGAATGAGTAATGAAAGGCACAGACATTGTTCAGGAAATATGCCTTAGTAAACTAAGAGACAGGAACCTAACTTACACGGAGATTACTACAGTAGCCCCTTACTGTCAGTGCTCACAGGAAGCATGCATATTGTGATGAGTTAGACATCTATGTGTGCATGTCACCATTGTGCACAAGTGCCTATGTGCACACCTCTCTTGGTGTGTCTTTCTGTCTCTCTATCTATAATTCTGTCTTTCTGTATGTCTCTGTCTATCTCTGTCTCTCTGTCTCTCTGTTTATGTCTCTATCTCTGTCTCTATCTCCAGAATGTCTCATTGGCCTAGACTTTACCAACTAGTCTAGCCTAGCTGAGCAATGAGCTCCAGTGACCCACAGGTCTCCAACTCTCCAGCCCTGGTATTAGAAGCACGTGCTGCCATGCCTAGCTTTTTGTTTTGTTTTGTTTTTAATGTGGATCCTTGATCTCAAATCTAAATCCTCATGCTTGCAATACAAGCACTTATACAAATTGTCATCCAGACATTTTTAACTCCTCCACAATCTATCAGAGACTAAATCACCCCTTAAATGCTGGGGAGGAATCTCTTTCATATTCATATTTTTGGTAATTTGAAGTTAATTCCTCTATATGCCCTAACTATAACACAATGCTTAAATGCTAGTATCCTTTGTGTTCTGAGGTTGGTAAGGCAGCAAAAGATGATTGTCATCTTTGGGATTTTCTACCTGAAACACACCTCCTAGACTAACAGAACCCTCCACCACAGGAAGCCAGCTTGAGTCACAATCCTACGAGTTAGTCACCTCTCAGATTTAAAAAGATGGAGGGATTCTAGATTTTTCAATGTTAAGCACTGTGATAGATATTTCTCTCTCTCTCTCTCTCTCTCTCTCTCTCTCTCTCTCTCTCACACACACACACACACACACACACACACAAACCAAACAAACAAAACCTTAAACGTTCCTGAAGGAACTCTCATTTTAGAAAGTTAATATAGTTCTAATGTAGACATTAGGATATTTTCCTGGGTAACTGAAGAATGCATTCTGTTAGAATGACTTTGCCAATTGCTTTGGTAACTAAGATTTTCCATTTGGCTCAATCAGACCTCACAATAATATGGTGACACGGGTTCCAAGCACAGGTTCCTGTGAGACATTTAATCTACAAACTAGTCCATTAGACTTGCCCTAAACTCTGCTTGATACCTTTAAGTACCTGGAATGTCACATTGTGCCTGTTCTGTGCTCTTCACTAGGAGAGTGAACCTGGTTCTCCATGATAAGAGACACTCAAAAACTGTCTAAGTGAGAAATAATTAAATATATTATGATTTTCCATTGCATGGGGGTTTTGTCTCAAGCTTTTATGATCTCCTCAGCTGCTTAGGATTAGGATAGCTTTTGTGACTCTATAATCATATAATTTGACATACTCCCTTTTAGAAAAAGAAAATTAAGGACAGAAGTATTTGTTTTAAATGAGAAATAAAATCATAACCTATTATAAATTTGTCAATTTTTGAAAACTGATGAGTCAAATTATCTGGAGCTGCCAGACTTCTTAAAGAAAAGATGGATCAGAAAGACAAAAGTGTCATGTGGTGGATTAGGGAATATAAAATAGGAAACTTTACCTATAGAAGAACGCTCTATTTATTTGAAAAGCCTAATAACTTTTTAATTTAATTAATTAACTAATAACATCAAAAGCAGGGAATGTCAAGCAATGTAAACACAGAAAACCACCCCAGACACATAATTAAAATCTCAGAAAACTTGTCACTAAGAGCAGAGATCTTACACTGTCCTTTGAACTAACAAGTCTGTCTCCTAACCCGCCCTATCCTGGGTCAGAGACAAGCAACTAAATTCCCAGCACAGAGACAGCATAAGTTTTGAGTCTAAGTTGGTCATGTGGCTCCAAAGGCTGCCACAAAGGGAGGGGGCACAGCAGGTAAACAAGTGAGTTTACATCCCGGCTGAGGATCCCTGAGCTTAAGAAACATGTCTTTTAAAAGGGGCTGTTACCACACCTGCCTGATCTGGGCTCTAGAATACTACAATATCTCTTTCATTTGGAGTGAAAAACACTCTGTTCTGAAGAGAGACACCATCTCTTTTTTCTCAGGTTCTTATATCTCAAAAACCCCTGATAAGATAGTCCAGATAAAACTGTCATACTGTGTACAGGGATGTGCAGGGCCCATGTAATCGCCTTTCTATACACTGGTCTCTAGCACATCTGCAAGCCTGTTCTAGCAACTGAAGAACTATTTGTCAGCACCACACATCTCCTCCTGCATCAAAACCAGGACTGTGGCAAGAGTTCATCCCTCAAGTCAGCACTTCCCCCTCCCCCCGCACTAACTTCTCAGTGCAGCCCCTCTGTCTTGCCCCCTGCCTATCAAAAACACCGTTCCTGTACCAAAT